AACCCAGCCCAGTCACAGGCCTCCTCGTGGCCAATTCTAACGGGTTTTTAGAACACGGTCCAGAACTGAAAACAGGTGTAATTGATGAGCAGAAATCTGAGTGACTTCCCTAGATAGACAGAGGCCGGCTTCGGATGGCAGGAGGCACAGATGGGAAACTCCTCCCAAAGCCACAGAATTTGAATTAAAAGAAAAAAACCATAATTAATAGACAGTAGGTCAGTTCTGGAGAGGAATTTCATCTGTTGATGAAACCACGAATAAGTGAAGATTTCAACAAATAAAAGACATCACTATGGAAACATTAGGCTTTGTAAGAGAAAAACAAAGCAACCAAAGCTTCCAATTGTACACGCTAAGTGTTCATGACCAGAAAAGGCAAAGCAGGGGTGCTGAGGCCAAGTGAAAGCTGCCGAGAAGTCAGGGGGCCATTCTTAGCTGCAGGGATGCTTAGCATTTCTCACAACTTCCTCCAAATCCTCCCCCATCCACAGCCTCCCATGTTACAAGCTGCTCCATCCACAGCTGGTCCAAGAGATCGCTCATTCCCTCAGTGAACCAAGATGTCGGCACTCAGGACACAAGGGGTAGCCTCACGCCAGCTCTAGGGACAGGGCAAAAAGAGGATGGAAAAGCACAGGAAAATCCTTAATAAGAACAAGCTGACGAGAAGTAGTTATGGATGGTTAAAACCCCCCTTTACTTCAGTAACAGTGGCAGTATCTGTTGCTGGAAGGGGCTGCAAGCAAGGAATAAGGGCATGATGTACCCAGTGGGTACATCATGTCCACCACTAGAATGTAAGCTCTCTGAGTTCAAGGGGCTATCTTGTTTGTCTCTGTATCCTCAGCAACTACCACAGGACTTTGCAGATTATTAAATTTTATTAAATTATTATTAAATGAATGTCATTTAGTAAATTCTGACTGAACTGAATTATGACACTTTGGGACCTGAAGATGGACTCTGTGATACAGGACCTGGGATTCCTCAGGTAACCATTTATAGAGGAATGAGATGCCTGATACCTATACTATAAACAGATGGCTAGATAGTGGGGAATGGATGATTAGAAGGAGATCCTTGCGTGTCCTGGCAAGTCAAGAATAATGAAAAGTTGGGAAACACTGCTCAGAGTCAATTCACCAAAAACCTGAGAAAAAGGGGAGCTTAAAAGGAACAAGAAATGACCTTTCAGATCTATGAAGAAGGAAAGCATTCATGAAGAAATAAGGAACAGAGAGGATCACAGAAGATAGGATGAACAATTTTGAATGCATAAAATTAGAAAATTTTTGCATAAACAAAACCAATGTAGCTAAAATTAGAAGGGAAATAGGTAACTGGGAAGATAAGGAATTGGTTCAATTCTAGTCAGTCAATAAACATTTACTAAGCACCTACTATGTGCCAGGCATCATGCAAAGAGCTAGGGATACAAAAAGAGACAAAAGACAGTCCCTACACTCTAAGACCTCACAGTCTAGTGGGGAAAGACAACAAGAAAAACATGCACAAACAAGTTAATACAGGATAAACAGGGAATAAGGGAGAAAAGGCACTAAAATTAAGGGGGGGTTGGAAAAGGCATCTTATAGATGAGATTTTAGTTGGGAGGGAAAAGAGGAGACAGGACAGAACCCTGACGGACATCTATGGTTTGAGGGTGTGACCTACATGGGGATCCAGCAAAGGCTGCAGACAAATAGTGTGATAGGTAGGAGACCCAGGAGAGAGCAGTGTCCCAAAAACCTAGAGAGAAGAGAGTGAAGAAGAGAGAGTGATCAATAGCGTCACAGGCTGCAGAGGTCAAGGAGGATGAGGACTGGGAAAAGGCCATTGGATTTGGCAAGTAAGACATCACTGATAACTTTGGAGAAAAGAAGTTTTGGTGGAATGATGAGGTTGGAAGACATATTGTAAAGGACTGAAAAGAGAGGTGGAGTGGAGGCATCTATTGTAGACAGCCTTTTTCAAGGTGTTTAACTACAAAAGGCAAAAGAGATATAGAACAATAATTAGGTGGGATAGAAGTACCAAGTAAGGATCTTTTGAGGACAGGGGAGGCATGGGCATGTTTGCAATCTGTAGGGAATGAGCCGGTAGAGGGAGAGACTGAAGTGAAAGAGTAGATAAGACCAAGCTGTTGGAGGAGGATAGAATGGGATCATTCTGCAGGTAGACGGGTTAGCCTTGGTAAGGAGGAAGGCCAGCTTTTCATGTGAGGCAGGAGTATAGGAGGAGATAGTGGCACCTGAGTGATGAGATGAGGAAGAGGGAAGGAGAGGGAGCTCTCAGTGAATGGTCTCAATTCTTTCTGTAAAAAGGAGTCAAGATTCTCAGCTGAGAGGGCTGAGGGAGGGGGAGCCATGGGAGACTTAAGGAGACACGAAAGGTTTGGAAGAGCTGCTGTGGACAGCAGAATAATGAGCTGATGAGGTAGGTGTAGTACAATTGTTTCGCAGCAGTGAGGGCCCAGTTACGATTGTGTAACACAAATTCGCAGTAGACCTGATCGGAACGGTTGAATTATTTTCTCTACCATCATTCAGCAGCAGTGGATGGTGCTAGTGATCCAGTGTCAGGACACAATCAGTGATTTGGTAAGAAAGCAAGGGAGACAAGAAGAGGACAGTGGGGGATGAACCGGTTCACCAAGGGGTAAAGAGAGAGAAAAGTGGAGACAACGGCTAGTGCAAGGGAGATGGCATGGGAGAGAACCGAGGGGTTGAGGGACTGGAGGTTATAACGAGGATGAAGAGTGGAGTTTGGTAAGGGAAGGGAGAGGGAGAGGTGGAAAGCCTAGAGATTACAGTTGGATAAGGTGGTCTAATACGGTGCCAACATCTTCGTGTGTCGCTGAGCTGGGTGGAGGAGTAGGCCACAGGAAGTGAGTAGGCTGAAGAACTGAGTGGTTAGGGCTTTTGAGGGAGAGTCAATATCTATGTCTGAAGTCCCCTTGTATGAGGGCAGGAATTGGGGAGGAGAGAAAAGTTGTGAGCCATTGACTGAACTCACTGAGAAAGGGAGTGACCTGGAGGTCTGCAGAGAAGAGCTACCAGGATTTTGATTGGGTGCTAGATATGAACAGCATGGACCTCAAAAGGAGGAGAGATGACTGAATGATGGAGGTAGGGGGAGAACCTGGAAGTGGCCATGGGGAACAAGGAGCATCCCAACTCCTCCTCCTGACTGGTGAGCCGAGGAGAATGAGAGTACCGGAAGGATGCTCAGGAGTTTGTGTTACCAGCGGGAGCCAGTTTCAGTAAGAGCTAGGAGACGTAAAAAATGGGAGAGGAAATGATTTAGGATGAAGGGAAGTTTGTTCTTTAGGACAGGCATTCCAGGGGGCATACTGGAAGGGCTGAGTGAGGCTTGGCTGGAACTTTGGGGTGGGAGGATTGAAGGGGTGGGGGGATGGGCAATGGGATTTGCATGATGACCTATAGGGTTTCAGAGTCAATGGCATGTGTAGAATATGAGCAGGAGGGGAAGGTGTCACTCTTCTTCCCAAAGAAGGCTGGAGATTGGACTGAAGATGGGTGTAGCACGAGATGGAAGGCCCTGTTTCACTCTTCCTCTTCCCCCTGAAGGCTGGAAATTAGGCAGGAAACAGTGTGGCAGGAGATGGAAGTCAACCACAGAAGGAAGTCTGGATTCCCACTGACTTTCCTCAAGGTTCTGGTGCAGCAGCAGATGAAAGATCAAAGGGAAGGCTGGTCCTCTTTGACTGGAGGTTCTACACATCCCAGCTGGGAGATGAGGCTGGTAGCTGGAGGTGGGAGATGCCTTGTACTGGCCCAGCCTGGCCCCTTGCCACCTTCCCACAGGGGACAGCAGGAGATGGCAGGCTCTCAGGGTATGGCCCTCCACCCCCAGGATCTCCCCATATTGGTGCTGGACTTTGTGGGGACATCCAATCGGCTTCAGCCCTACTGTAGCACAATACTCCCAAATTCAAGCAACCCACCAGCCTTGGCCTCCCCTGAAGATTAGGGAGTGCCACTACGCATGGCTCCTTTGCCTTACAAACAGAATAGAGTGAACTTGCCAACCTGATTCCCATCATTAGTAAAACATGTGTCTTTGGGATTGGATTAGTGGCAGTTACTAAAAATTTCCCACCTGCCTAGCAGTCTTCCCTGAAATCAGTAACCTCTTTCACTCCTCAACCACTGTACAATTTTAAATGACTCGCTTTAGTGTAGGGGGAGAAATGGCACCACTTGCATATGGTGTTAATTGTCCTGCTGAGTGAAAGGTAATTCCTCAGTGCAAAAAAATGTTTTTAAATTTCAAATCAACTCCAGCAAAAGAGGAAGTCAAACCATCAGATAAATGTAATCCTCAAATAAAAAGAAAACATTTCTTAAAATCAAGAGAAGCAACCCTGATTCAGATCACCTTAGCAGAAGAAGCTATAATAAGTTAAGCAACCTAGGTGCTACATGGATATAGAGCACTTAGAGATGGATGAATGAATGAATGGAATGAATAAATGACAGGTTTTTAGACTTGGGAGTTGGAAGGGACCTCAGAGATCATTTAATGTGACCCAAATTCTACCATGAATCCCAGCTGTGACACCCTTCATCAAATGTCCTCTAAGTGCTGCCCTCATGACAAGGAAATCACTTCTTCCCAAAAATGGCCCATTTGGAAGCATGGGCAGTGGAACTGGTTTTTGGCCTGGAGCTCTATCACTTCCTGAACCTCTGTGACTCTGGACAGGTCTCTCAACCTCTCCAGGGACCAAATTCCTCATCTATAAAATGAAGGGGCAGGACTAGCTCATCTCTATATCCCTTTTGAAGCAAGAACCCTATGATCTCTGACAAAGGTCTGACATCCAGAACATACGGGGAACCGACAGAAATTTTAAAGACTAAAAACATCCCTGACAGACAAATCAAAGGACAGGAACATTTTCAAAAGAAATACAAATGACCACCAACTACACAAAAATGATTTCAAATCACTAATAATAAAGGAAATGCAAATCAAAATTCCAAGGTTCACCTCACTCACATCAAACTGGCAAGAGTGACAAAAGACAGAAATATCCAGATCAGAAGAGTAATGTGAAGACAGCCACAGTGATGCACTGTTGGGGACGACAGGCAGGGAGCTGAAAAATTAGTTCAACTGCACTTAAAAAAAAAGTTTGGAATTATGTGAGAAAGTTACCCCAAAATTTAAAATTCCTTTAAAAGTTTCTTTTAACCAGCCATCCCGGGTCATATAGTGCCTAAATACCAAGGGGATCAAGGACGGCAAGAATGGTCCCATATGTGCCGCAATACTCACAGTACAAAACCGTACTCATTATTTCCCTGCCTCCCCTCTTCCTAAGTTCTCTGTTACTGGCCAGGGCACCCCCATCTTCCTCATACCCCGGTATCTTCAATTCTTCACTTTCTCTCTTCCCCCACATCCAAACTTGCTCTACATTTATACATGTCCCACATGGGCCCCTTTTGATTCCCTGCCATAACTCCCCCCTTGGTGCAGGCCTTTATCACCTCATGCCTGTCCCATTACAAAGGCCTTCTCACTGGTCTCCCTGACTTAAGTCTCTTTTGGTTCCAGTTGGCCCTCACTCGTTTGACTCTTGTCAAAATAATCTCCCTAAAAGCACAGGTCTGACCATGTCATCCCCCCATTCAGTAAACTCTAGTGGCTTCCAACAAATCCTATTCGGAAACCAAAGCCATTTATAACATGGCCCCCTCCTAAACCTTACTCCTTCCTTCATCCCAGTGTCCACGACACTCCATCTCCTGTCTCCAGGCATTTTCATTGACTGTCCCCTATGCTTGGAATTCTGTTCCCCTTGCATCTCTGCCTTCTAGATTTGCTGGTTTCCTTCAAGTCCCACTTAAAATTCCACATTCTGTGAGAAGCCATTCTAGATCCCCCTAAAGGATCACACCTTCCTCCTATCATCTCTAATTCATCCCTCATACATCGTTTGTACGTAATCGTTTGCACGTTGTCTCCATTAGACTCTCCGTTGAGAGCAGGGCCTTTGTTTTTTGTGGGGGGGGGGGCTGGCTTTCTTTGTATTTCCAGCACACAGCACGATGCCTAGCATCTTGGAGGTACTTAATAAAGGCTTACTGACTAGTCATGTTTATTGTGGTAGCAAAAAACTGTGAACAAACTGGGGAATGGCTAAGCAGAGTGTAACTTTGTAATGGAACGCAATTTGGCTGTAAGGACTGATGGATACGAAGGATTCAGAGAAACATGGCAAACCATGAACTGATGAAGAACAGGGCGAACAAAGTCAGGAGAATGTATATTGACTGCAATAATGCAACGACTAATAGTTCCACATGACTGATGCTGGAAGATGATTCCTTCTTTTCTACAGAGAAGTGGATTAAGGGCTAGAGACTGCTATTTACTGCTATAGAGGACTCTCCTTAGCTGTCATTTTTTTTTAAATAAAGATAGGGACTGTGTGGGATGGGGCGACCTACTACAAAACCAAAAACTGAAATGCATCAGTAAAACACGGCACCCATAAATGGCTACAATATTCCAGATGTCTTCCGACTAGGAAAGAACAGAGCAGGTGAGACACCTTGCTCCGTCTGGACACTGGACGGTCACTGAAGACTTCTCTGAAGTATCGCCTCTCGCTGCTGACTCAGCCTGAGCTCACAAGTGCTGTTCAGTAGGCATCACTCTAACAGAAACAGCAAGATGCAGGTGTGAAGCTTACAGCCGTCAGTCTGAGATATGTGAAGAAATGATTCTGCAACAGGAAGGATCTTGAAAGACCTGTATAGTCTGCTGCTCCACAGGAATGAAAGAGGAGATTCCAAACGACCATGACTGAATCCATCACCCAGTGGGCTGCTTGGCTAATGCTGGTTAGCCTGTCAACAAGAAAGAGTGGGAAACACGGTGGAGGTTTGCTTTTACTTTGACAGAAAGCATTCATATCTCCCTCGAAAATACCACGTTCTGTAAAGTGCCTCATATTCTTTGGAGGAAAGATGCCCTATAAAAGCCAATGGCAAAAATAATGGAAACTGTAACAGTGAGATGTCAAAAAGAACGGCTACACAGCCCAACAAACTCTATCCTCTTCTTAAACCAAACGACCTCCAGTCTCTTCATACCGGGCACCAGGATCACAGACCGAAGGGCACGGAATGGAGACGGGATCAAAAGGAGACAGTGCAGCAATGAGGTTATTTCCACAACAGCTAAGTCCACATTCTTGTGCCATTCTCACTTATTTAAACTAATTTCCTTTTTCATAAAAGATTTCCCAGTCTTGGTTTGGAAATATGCTTTCACGCCTCTCCTGACCAAGAGTTCACAAAAGCACGTGTTTATGATGTACTAAGAGGCAGCAACCCTCAGCTGTTTTGGGAACCTCAGCGATGCAATGGCCTCAAAAGCTTAGTCACGGGGTGGCTGAAATTTGAGGAAAGAATCCTTAGCTAATCTAGTCCATTCCCAACAGCCCCCAGGAAGGACAGCTCCCGGCATGATGTATTCACTAGGGTTCTATTTGCCTTGGCTTTAAATGACTGCAGCAACTCTCCAGGGGATGCTAATCTGTGAGGAACAGATGTCACTACCCGGATATCTGCTCTGCTATCTTGCCTAAATTTCAACCTATTACTTCTCCTTACATCACGAAATGACTCTTCTCTTCATGAGGTTAAACATGTACTGCTGACTGCCCAAGGGTAGCCGGGCCAACTGGATCAGCTGCTTGAGGTTCTCAGGTTTGAGGGACTAGTTAGAGCAGAGCCCGGGGAGCCTGGATGACTCAGTGTTATTCAAAGTGTACTCTGAATATACAGTCTTCCATGACAATAGCACAGAAGTCAAGAAGTCAAGGCAAGTTTCAAAGCAGCCCAGGAAAAACGCCTCTGTTCGGATTTCAGTAGCTGTCTGACCAGAGGGAAATCCAAAGACGGTGACACATATTTACATCTCAACTTCTCTCAGTCACAGGGGGAAGCATGTGCTATTTTCCCCTACAGACACAAATCCATCCATTCATAGTCCTTGTATACAAATGAAGGAAAAAGAAAAGCCAACGGATGAGATCATCTGTGAGTACAATCACAATAGACTTTAATTTGCACACAGCAAATCCACAAGTCTGAGACCTGTTTAGGGATTACTATTCCCACAAGAAACATATACCAAACATGAACTGCTTGCTGCCATTTCACAGAACCCTCTGCTAAGGTACCAATTAGACTCTCATCTCCTATGGAGCTGTATTGCTAGGAGACCCGAATGTCCATGCCCACATCCACCTTGGAATACTTGATACCAAAAGGTGGACTCATTCCAAGGGCAGCTTCTCCCAGAAGGCTCTTAGGTCACCCTTGAATCCATCCCACTGGGCTCAGAGAAAACAGTCCTAAAGGTCAGGTTCACTCTTGCTCCCTTAGAATGGTACTCCTTGGGCACCCGGTGCTACAGAGAAACAGACAAGTTATTAATAACTATACTTTATAAGTAACTACAGTTAGTTATAATCTGCATTAAAGGCAATTTTAAGAAAAGAGGAACATTGCTATTCTAACCTCCCTAAAGTGGATATGATAGTCACAGGGTGGCTGAAATTTGAGGAAAGGGTTCAAACTAACACTGACGATGAACTCTTGTATCCCCACCTTCTACTATTTCCCTGCCACAAAGTGAGAACATTCTAGCACTGAAACAGTTTTGCCTTCCCCAAACATGACTTCATCTCAACCTCTTGCCACTCTCCCCAGGCCCACGTGGAGGATCCTAAACGGCAAGTCTTTTAGCATAGACCAAAGGGCGGCGTGAGACACTTATCCCTTAAGGGTCAGTGATCCGTCATTACCCACCCTTCAGCACTTTAAAGAGAACTCGGCCTGAAGTACTTCTTGACTGAAGCCTCGTACATATCACCAAACTTACCTGCAATGATCAATCAGTAAGTACTGTCAAGCTTGGTGTGATATCAGTTTACCGTCTCCATCACTATGAAATCATGGCGTTTCCCAAAGTCACAGTCTGAGGCTACACCTGGGAAACTGTACCAGAGACGCTATTCGTGCTGCTTCTCTGTTCTTACCTGCCAATCAGCTTGCGTCGCTCCCTCCATCACCAACAAGGTGCCATGATCCAAGGGTATCTTTACTTTTTCCACATACGTATAGTCCCCATTCTCTTCCTGAGAAATAGCATTAAGTGAAACAAGTTATACGCATGTGTAACGAGAATAATTAGAACTGATAATAGATGGCAAGCCAGATGAAAAGTTCCATCGGTCATCTATCCTATCAGATATCACTGAAGGTGGTCAGTTTTATAGTAGAGCCCACTTTGGCCTATGAAGAAACCAAATTCCAATGACACAGAACTCTCTAAAAGCAACCACGCTCAACTATGGTACAAGAAGAAGAATGGACTTGGGAGTCAGAAAGCCACGTCTGGATTTCAGTCCTGGCTCTCCCACTTCCTGGTTGTGTAACCCTGGGTGAGTGACAACTCTCTGAGCCTCCTTGTAAGACCTCCTCCGCCAGACTGTCGTGAGACAAGCGCTTTGCCAATCTTAAAGCCCTACAGAAGAGTCATCATCTCTCAGCACTCAGCATTAGAGCGCAATCAGGAAAATGAAGTGTTCGATGGAACACCAGTAGGTGACGCTTCATCTTTTAATAGGCAACAAAGAAATTCAACAACCAGTTCTTTAAGTTATTGGGCCAGTGAGAACTCCTTTCCCAGTCCACGTTCCAAAGGATCCTTCTCCTTCTTCTACTTGTGGACTCTCTGAAAAGCTGGGTGCAGCCTTACAGCCAAAAGCAGGATACTGCCAGGTGACACCAGCTGTTCTAGCTCTTGGAAATCTACCACTAACTCCTGGAAGTCCCCAAGGAAAACGTTTTGTATTAACACTACCTTTCTCCTAAGGATCTCAAAGGAGGTTTATGTACGTCATTTTTAAAAGCCTTCACAACACAGCATGGTGAGAGGCGGGTGGTGTTATTTCTCTTTCACAGAAGCAAAAGCTAAAGAAGTGGTGAATTAAGCAACTTTATTTGTCCCTAGGGCTCTGGGGGAGGTCAACTGTTGAGCCAGGAGTTCCCTGGCCCATTGGCCCCTCTCTGCGGTGAGCAGGAGGAGTTACCTTGTACGTCTGCTTCAGAGTCCATTTCCCTTCTGATGCAAAGACTTCGCGTTTATTTGTTATTTGGGCCTAGCTTTTAGTGTGTGGTTATGTTTGGATTTATTATTGTGGGTTTGCTTTGGAGAACTTCACCGTTTATAATTCTTTCTCCCAGAAAAATCAAACCCCAAACAATAACGCACTTGGATAAACAGCCCAAGTTTCAGGCCCCTAACCCTCTTAAGAGCAGCTCTGGAAGGCATAGCCACAAATCACACACACGGAAGTGAAACAGATGACTGAAAGTTATTTTTTCATTTATCGACTGACTCCTAATGATGCATGCCTCTCCCCTCTGACAGGGATTAACTAGCCCCCAAACATCCCCTTGTGACCTACTTGCCATCCAGAAGGCAGTGGGGAGGTTACCCTGCCCTATGGCAGCCTGTTCCTATCTCTGATTATTCCCCAGCACGAGGCTGCTCCAAGCAAAGAAAAATGTCAGACACACAAGATTTATGTTTTATGGGGGAAAAGATAGCACAAGCTGAATGCGTCATCTATGAGATTAGGGGAATCCAAGGCTGCTTGATTTAGGCAAGAGAGTTATTAGAGCTGGGTTCACGACAGCTGGAAGCTAAAGGACGGTAACGCTGGTAAACAAGCAGACTGAATAAACAGGAATGGGGAGGGTGTGTGCAAAAAGCAGGTAATCAGTAAATCAAGCTCAGAAACTGGAACTGGAGCACGGAAAACAGTCGAGGAAGAAAATGTTTTTCTCAAACAACTGACTAATTTTCAGGTGATGGATGAATTTTCCCCCCACCTTTTTTTTTTTCTATTTGTTTCTTTGGGGCATATGGTGGAAGAAGGAAGGAGAACTGTAAATGCTTGTGGATAAAACAAGAAGAGATTTTAAAAGCCAAGGAGAATTTCACATAGAAAGGGGAAAAATCAGCAGACAAAGAAGCAGTCACTTCATCAGTTCTGTTTCTACTGATGGATTTTCACAAGGGTGTTTTAAATTTTTTTGTCACTATCCTGTTTTTGTATCAGCTACATTTCCAAATGTCCTTTCCTCTAGCTAGCAAACCATCCCTGTGCAACAAAGAATTTAAAAAGGAAAAACACAATTTCAACAACACCCTGGCTGTACCCCAGAGTGCACAGAGTACTTCACACCCAAGGTCTCCCACCTGGGTCATTTATGGTCACCTTACGGGGCACATTCAGTTTTTCTTTCTGCAGTTTCTCTGAATTCTTCAGGGTCACTGTATCTCACAGTGCAGAGGAATGTTCCCTTCCTTTCACCTACCCCAATTTGCTTAGCCAAGCCCCTACAGCTGGGGGTCAGGGTGGGGGAGAGAAGAAACTGTTCTGCAGCTTCCTGCTACCACAAAAAATGGTGCTTTGACTTCACAAGTATAATCAATATCCTATTGCTTGCCTTCTCAAGGGGTAGAGGAGGGGGCAGGAGGGAGGGAAAGAATTGGGAACTCAAAATTTTTTTAAAATGGCAAAAAAATTTTAAATGTAATTGGGAAATATTTAATAAAATAAATAAAAATATTTTTAAAAGCGATCCTTATGAATATTTTTGTGCATGAGACCTTTTATTCCCATGTTCACCGTCCACACTTTGCTACCAAGCTCCATCTGCCCCCTCCCCTCTGTCCTTCAGCCCCTCTGTCATTGGCAAATTCCTCCAGGAATCTCCATTTTGAGGAAGGGCTCAGACCAACCATGTTTCACTGCCAGACACTGCCACTAACACTTCATCTGCCCTCTCTCTCCACCACTGTGATCCTCTTCTCCTACTGGTGAGTTCTTTTTGGAACCTCCATAGAAGGGCCCAGACCAGCCATGATTAATTCTCTTAGACTTCAGCAACCCAACATAAAGTAATAAAATGCTTGTTGACTTCACCTTTTTTTTAACTCTATTTTTTTTTCAACATTCACTTTCATGAGATTTTGAATTCCAAATTTTTTTCACCCTGATCTGATATAGGTTATACATGTACAATCATATTAAACACATTTCTACATTAGTCATGTTGTTAAAGAAGAATCAGAATAAAAGGAAAAACCACGAGAAAGAAATTTTTTTTAAAAAGGCGAAAATAATATGCTTCCATCTGTATTCAGACTCCATAGTTCTTTCTCTGGATGTGGACAGCATATTCTACCATGAGTGTTTTCGAATTCTGACCTGACCTTCTTGAAGCATATACCTAGGAACAGAATCTCTGATGGACATTTTAGTACCTCATTCATTCATTTATTTATTTATTTTTGACCATAATTCCAAAATGCTTTCCAAAACGGTTTTCACAGCTCTATCAACCATATATTGGTATATCTATCTCTCCTCAGCCCTTACAACACTTATTTTTTCTATCTTTTGTTATCTTCATCAATTTGCTGGTTGTGAAGCAAAACCTCAAAGTTGTTTTGATTTGTTTCTTATCATTAATGAGTTGAGACAATCTTTCGTATGGGTGTTGACAGTTCATAATCCTTCCTGTAAGAATTGTTTATTCACATCCCTTGACAACCTGATCTTGGTCTCACTTATTTGTGTTAATTCCCTAGATGAGACGCAGACTGAAATAGTGGAGAGAGGTCTAGGCGACTCTATGACTGTAATCAGCAAAGAGGACACCAAGCAGCGTTGGGGGGGGGGCAGTGTCCTCATCTGGGAGTTTCCTATGCTAATGAAATCACAAGTCCTAGCTTTTCGCTGTCCCTTCCTTAGGCAGAGAGCTGATGGCCAAGATAACTCAGGACACAGTATAGGAAGAAAATACCTAGTTGCTCCTGAAGAATTAAAGCTACCCAGCCCAGATGAACTGAAGCCTCAGATCCTAAAAGAAGTGGAAGATATGACTGCTGAGTCATTGCCATTAATATCTGAAAGATTGCAGGAAAATGGGAGGAAGACAAAGTTAGAGAATAGCAAATGTCTTCATTTTCAAACCAGGGAAGAGAATAGTCTATAAACCATAAATTTCTTTTCTAAAAAATTCTAAATTCTACAAATTCTAAAATATTCTAAAATAAAAATTCTAAAAAAATTAGCTTGATTTTCAATTCCCTGGAAATTTCTAGAAAGCATCATTCAAGATACGGTTGCTGAACATCTAAAATGGGGAGCAGGGATGATAAAGAACCAGTCCGGTTTCATCAAGAACGGATCATGCCATAACTAAACTCATTTCCTTTTCTGACAAGATAACTAAACTAATGGAAGGGAATGCTGTGAATACAGTTCACTTAAATTTCTGTAAAACTTTTGATACACAATCTCATGTGGGCTGGATAACAACACAACTAGATGGATTCAGACCCAGCTGAATGACTGGGTTCATGGTTCACAGTCAACACATCAGGAGGTCTCTATGCTTGGCCCTGGGCTGGTTCAAAGATAGCACACTCCTCAAATCTGCAGAGGCCCCAAAGCTGGGAGAGACAGCAGACACAAGGGATGACAATCATGATCCAAAAGGATTTCGACAGTCTGGAGGATGGGGCTGAATCTAATAAGATGAAATTCAACAGGGCTCAAGGTAAAGTCCTCTATCTTGGCAGCAAAAATCAACTTCCCAAGAAGGGGAAGATATGGACAGACAGTAGCTGCTCTGAAAAGATCTGGGGGTTTTGGTGGAATGCAAGCTGAATAAAAATCAGCAGTGTGATGTAGCAGTCAAAATGAACTAAAGTGGTCTTGGGCTACATCAAGAATATAGAGATAAGGACAAATCCAGGACAAGGAGGCAATATTTCCAGAATCCTCTGCCCTAGTCAGAGCTCATCTGGAGCACTATGTTCAGTTTCGGGCCTCACAGTTTAACAGACACTGTAAGTCACAGAGTGTCCAGAGGAGAACAACAAGGTCGGTGAAAGGTGTGGAGTAGTTAACGCACGAAGAACTGAGGATATTTAGGATGGAGAAGACTTGAGTGAGACACAGCTGAGGTGTTCAAGCGTTCAGAAGACTGTCAGGTGGAGAAGGGACAACGTTATTTATTTGGCCCCAGAGGGCACAATGTGGAGCAATGGATG